TTTATTTTTATAAAAGAGCATTGTCTTGTTACCAAAACTAGACAAAAACATTAAAGAGAGAACATTTTAGACTGATATCTGCTGTGAATATGCATATAAAACATTTTTAACATATTAATATATCATTCTGGAGAATATAAAAAATAAAGCATCATGACTAAATAGGATTTTAGCCTGGACTTTAAGATTAGTTTATATTGAAAATAAACATAATTCACTATTTTAACAGAAAAAACAGAAAAACAAGTAAGCAATTATCTTAGATGAAGAAAAAGCAACTGACAAAATGCAACATCCATTCATGATAACTTTCAACATAAATGAATAGAAATTAATATCCCCATTCTGATGCAGGATACCCACAAAATAACCAACAAATATTATACTCAATGGTGAAACATTATCCACATTCACCTTAAGATCAACAATAAAGTAAGGATAGACGGTCTAACTTTACATATTAAATAAATATTAGGGACTCTAGTCAGAGTAACTTTCATGGAATATCTATCATGATGATTGGTAAGGAAGAAGTAAAATTATCTTTATTTGTAGATAATATTATTGTATAAAAAATGTAATAAATTTACCAAAAATACTAGAATAGGTCACAATTCATAAGAGAATTTCTTAGCTTATTTTTATATGTCAAGGCATCAACTCCAATTGTTTGTTCTGTTTCCTGATTATTATTCTTTTACTGTAAAAAACATTTTATTAATAATATAGGATACCACAGTTTTCTTAAGAAATGCTCACTGAATTATTCTGGGGTAAATGGATACAATACTTCAGAATTGCTGTCAAACTGTTTAGAAAAAAATTAAATTTCTAATTGATTTTGAAAAAAAAATAGATTTCTACTAGACTCTCAAATAGTTTAGAAACAGTAGAGAGATATAATAATAAAACAAATATAGAAAAATATAAATACATGAGGAATATGTCTAAGGGATATGAAGATGCTTTTGAATAGGTCTTTTAAATTATCTGTAAGTTTACACTTATTTCAAAGAAAGATTTAAGAAGCAACAAAATATATCTTTAAGACTGGTATTATTATGATAGATTGGGAAACAATGGAAATAGATATAGATGGGGAAACAATAGAAACAGTGACAGACTTTATTTTCTTGGGCTCCAAAATCACTGCAGATGGTGACGGCAGTCTTGAAATTAAAAAATGCTTACTCCTTGGAAGAAAAGCTATGACCACCTACACAGCATGTTAAAAAGCTGAGACATTACTTTGCTGACAAATGTCTTTATAGTCAAAGCTATGGTTTTTATAGTAGATATGTATAGATGTGAGCAATGGACCATAAAGAAGGCTGAACACCAAAGAATTGATGCTTTTGAATTGTGGTATTGGAGACAACTCTTCAGAGTCCCTTGGACAGCAAGGAAATCAATCCAGTCAATCCTAAAGGAGATGAGTCCTGATTTCCTTTAGGAAGGACTGATGCTGAGGCTGAAACTCCAATACTTTGGCCACCTGATACGAAGAACTGACTCACTGGAAAAGACCCTGATGCGGGAAAGATTGAAGGCAGGAAGAGAAGGGGATGACAGAGGATGAGATGTTTGGATGGCATCACCGACTCAATAGACATGAATTTGAGCAAGCTCTGGGAGTTAGTGTTGGACAGGGAAGCCTGGGGTGCTGCAGTTTATGGGGTCACAAAGTGTCAAACGTGACTGAAGGACTGAACTGAACTGACTGAATATTATGATGGAAAATAAAAATATTATTAAGATCTTTAAAACATTAAATGAGCACAAATATATTTAACAAATATATTAAAAAAATGGCAAAATCCTAATATTGGAAACTAAATATTTATATTGAAAAAGAAATATTGAAAACTAAATCATTCCTGCAAGGCATTGGGAAAGACCTACATAAATAGAAGCTAAGCCACCTACCTGTATTGAAAGATTTAATGTTGTAGATGCCAATTCTACTCAAATTGAACTGTAGTTTCAATACAATACCAATTAAAATCTCAGCAGACTTTTATGGTAGAAATAGTAAAGATGGTTTTATTTTTTATTTTTTTTAATTTTTTAATTTTTTTTTCCATTTATTTTTATTAGTTGGAGGCTAATTACTTTACAACATTGCAGTGGTTTTGGTCATACATTGAAATGAATTAGCCATGGATTTACATGTATTCCCCATCCCGGTCCCCCCTCCCACCTCCCTCTCCACCCCTATTAGAACTGATTCAAATGAATTCTTTTTAATGGCTGAGTAATATTCCATGGTGTATATGTACCACAGCTTCCTCATCCATTCGTCTGCTGATGGGAAAAGATGGTTTTAAAATGCATTTGGAAATGCAAAATACCTGACCAACTAAATCAATCCAGTTAAAAAAGAAAGAGAGAAAATATTGGAGGAGTTTTACTACATGGTTTCAGGAATAACCAGAAAGCCAGAAACTAAGATTGTAGTGGAAGAAGAGATCACACACACAAAGAGATCAGTTGTTCTGAATAGTTTTTCCAGAAGTAAATCCATATTTATGTGATCAATAATCAACATAGGTGCCAAAATAATTCAATTGGGGGAAATGATGCTGGAACTATCAATAATCAGATGGAAAATACAAGGATGGTTGACATTTCTTACACTATATTCTAAAACTAATTTGAGACACATTGAAGTCTTAAATCTAAGAGCTAGTACCATTAATCTTCTAGATGAAAAGATGGAATATAACTTCACTATATTGAATAGATAAAGTAATCAGTTATTGTAAAAGAAAAAAAATAAAGTATACATCATCAAAATTAGAAACTTCTGATGAACAAAACAAAGCATATCAGTACAATGACATTCCAATGTGCAACTTGAAACAGAATGCTGATATACTCAACAATATGAATGAATCGCAAAAGCATGTGATGTGAAAGAAACCCCACACAAAAGAATATATAATACGTGATTCCAGTTATCTGAATTTCTAAAACAGGCAAAACTATCTATGGAAAAAGTTTGTAGAAGTAGTTGTCTTTTGGGACCTCTGTGAAGGGACTTGAGGGAGTGTGTTTAGAAATGTAAAATTCTCATATCTTGATGGGAGGTAAATACATTTATCAAAACTCATCACATACACTAGAGATCTATACATTTCACCATACACAAATTATACAAATATTTTTAAACATTATTTTTAAATGGTCTGTAAAAGGTAGAACTAAAGAGGAAAAAAGTTATCTGTGATTGGAAAGATAAGTATAGATGTGACAACAAAGTACAATAGATGGGTATCAGCCATTTACTTACTGGGTTTCACTGATTTTCTATACATTTAGCTTGTGCTTATTAGAAAATTTGTTTTAATTATCTTCTTCCATCTGACTGGCTTATAGGCTGATCAGAATTTCATTATTTATTTGTTTAAATGTTCTGGATGGTTTCTTAGTCAGTTGATTACAAAGTCATTTACATATTGTTCATGCATATGTTCTAGTTAGAGAAAACCTGTTAATTGTCTATATAGGCAGGGATAATCTACATAGGCAAAATGCTTCAATAGAAAATCTATAGGAACCCAGTCATGTTCTAGAATTGATACCTTATTGATATTCTATTATATTTCTATTTCATTATGGAGCTAGAAATATTTTACTTTCTTCTATAATTGAAATAGTAAGACAAGTAATTGCATGTGAAATTTTGGACCTTTGTGGATGGTAACAAAACTTAATGACACTAATAGGCAGTGGCATTGATACATTTTTTTATTGAAGGATAATTGCTTTACAGAATTTTGCTATTTTCTGTCAAACCTCAATGTGAATCAGCTATAGATATACACATATCCTGTCCCTTTTGAACCTCCCTCCCATCTTCCTCCCTATCCCATGGCTCTAGGTTGATACAGAGCCCCTGTTTGAATTTCCTGAGCCATACAGCAAATTCCTGTTGGCTATCTATTTTACACATGGTAATGTAGGTTTCCATGTTACTCTTTCTATATATCTCACCTTCTCCTCCCCTCTCCCCATGTCGTATCTGTGTTTTACAGATATCAAGGATGATTACTGTCAAAATATGAATAGGAAATCAAGGAATGATTCAGTTAGATGTTTTTCTGATATATGTATATAAATTAAGAAAAAATCTATTTGAAGAGAAATACCCTGAAAAGGGGAAATGGTTAGTAGTTATGTAATAATAATATGGATTTAAAAGGGCAAATTGGTAAAAACAAACTATAAATAAATAATTATTATTATTTATAATTTGAAATTATATAATTTTGCATAGAGGTAAAATCTCTAATATATTCTGATTTAGTTTTCTCCATTTGAATACTTTCATTATAGAATCATTTTTCCAGAGAACCATAAGATGTAAGTTACTACATGTAAACAGCATTACTAAAATTTGCCTTATATACACATATTCAAATTGAGATTAGTCTAATTTTGCTTTTTGATATGTAATTTTGTTCTGATCATGTGCAAAATTATTTTAAAGATACAAAAAGTTTTGTCATTTTGAATGTTTAATCATTTTACCTAAGGGGAAAGAGTGACTATGGTAAGACTGGATCGAATGACAGTATGTCCACTCTTAAATTTTATTCCTGGCTGTTTGCCCAGTTTTTTTGGAAGGTCTTAATCATTTTGTGCCCTGATGATGTCCAGAGGTGAAAAGAGACAGTGTCTAGTGACTCAAAACAGTTTGAATGAGGTAATCAAACAGAACCGGAAAGTTACCTTCTATCTCTGGTGAAGTACAACTGAGAATCCTGAAGGGGTTCACCGAAGAAGAGATGTTGTAATTAAAATATCATTTCATTTCAATCCCCTACTTATTCATTCAGTTTAAGTCAATAATGACAATGGAATCTCTCACGGTGGTGATTCACTAGCTGCAAGGAGGGGAAAAGTGCCTGAAGGTTAATGCTCTTGGAAAAAAGATAAATCAATGCATGCTCATTCTGGTCTTTAAATACTTCATTGATTTAATTGTTCTGTTTCAGAAATATGAGATGACATCAGATACATGGCTGTCTAAACAGGTATGGTATAGGTGGTCTCTTTATGCCACATTTTGTCATCATATCTACCCTATTCACTCTTTTGCTTTATATGCAACTTTTTCTCAAAAGTTATTTCAGTTGTATGAATTTAAAGACTCTTATGTTTGAATGAGTGAGTCTTTTTCGCTAAAATATGACTTGGGTTTTATGACATCATTTATGGAAAGAGTACTTTTTTTTTTTTTAATAGAACACAAGTTGTTGAATCATTACCAGGATCCATTTTCAGGACCACTCATAAAAGTAAATATTTGTGTTGAAGAAAAAGGTGCAGCTCATATAAACTAGGAACCATCAGCATTGCTCAAGTTGCCCAGAAAGCTGACCAAGTCTCCACATAAATTGCTATTCAGATGGGCATTTCCTTAGATATTTTCTAGCTTACACAGTGCTAGCTCATGATATAAGTGGAGCTAGAATCCAGATGATCACAAATGTCTGCACAATATACAGTCTAACTGGATATTTCAGAAGGAAACACAAGATTATTCAAATGTAGATAAAGCCATTTTACTACTAACCATCACTGCGTTTTGCAAAGGACGTGTTTGGCTTGGCTTGTTTGGTTTTGATTTGTTTTGCACTTTACAGTGCTCTATTATTTCATATTCTCTCCCTGGGTGTCATATATGTCTGTGGTTTCAATTGCTACCTCTGACCGTATGGCCCCAGGCAACTCAATTCTCTGAGTTCTGATTTGTATACAAACTCATGTTTGGCATCTTCTCCTAAATCTATAAAAGAAACAGCATAGTCCTCAGGTTCAAACTAAGCTCTGTTCTCTTCCAGTAAGTCTGTATTCTTATCATAGAAGTCACAGATGTATTTATCCACCCAGCTATCAAAATCATAAACATACTGAGGATTATTGAACTTTTCTTATCCTTATCTGCATATGTTACTCATCACCAAATTGTTTTGATTTTACCCTCAAAGACTTCAAGTCATTTACTTTTCTCCAGTTCACGAACACTCTATAGGATCAAACTATCAGCGCTGCATTTCCTCCTTGACTGGTGAACTCTCAATCCCTTAGGAAGCTGCCAATCTGTTCTCCACATTTCAGCCTGGAGGAGTGATCTTTTCAAAATACGTATCTAATTCTACTGCCCCAAACACTCTGATATTCTCTCACAACTGAAAACTTTTATCTCCCCTTTGTTCCACAGATAAGGACCAACATCCTTAAAGGGTCTATAAGAGATTAATTTGAAAGCTTTTCCAGCTCTGTGTCATATCATCTTTTCTCTCATTTTCTCCACTAGCCCTCATATTCACCAGACCTTTATGTGAACTTTTCCTTCTGAACAGAATTTTCTCAATTGCTTTCTTTCCTGAAAGTTGCTTATTTGTCAAACTTCAGCCTATATCACCTGCTTAAGAAGTCATTTCTTCAAACTACCCTAATCAAATAACATCCCCCAATAAAACTTAAAGTCCAGTGCAATATTTATGTAAACTTACACAGTTAGTTCTGATTTTTTTTTACAAGCTTCACAAGGGCAAGAATGTTGTTCATTTTTTATTATTCATTATATAACAAATGCTTAAAATACAGTCTGGTTATAAGAAGAGTTCCATATGTACCTGTTGAATTAAGAAAAAGAGTAAGAAAGATTGTGAATAGGCTGTAGGTATATCTATCTCCCTATCTGCCTGTCTGTCTATCATCCATCTGTCATATCTCTCTCCATAGATAACAAGGTGAACTATTTAATCATAGTCAATGTGCAAAATTAAATTGAGGGAAAAACTGACTTTATTTAACAAAAAAAAAAATCAAAATTAAGTAAAATACTTAAAATAATTGAAAATAATAACAATAGATATGGATTTATTCTAAATTACCTGCATTATTAAACCTACTTTAATTGTCAGTGACATTCGTAATAGTCTAACATACAACAACAACACAATGCATGAATTTTTAGGATTATGTTACCTACATTTTAAGTCCCAAATTTATGAATATTTAATAGAAATGAAAAAAAAAACAGTTATCAAGTATTTAACAAGAAAATCTAGGGAGTAGTTTGTTGCAGTTGATGTTTTCTTCAAAAGTTCTGAGGGAATTTCATGTAATACTTAGAATTCAGTGAAATTAAAAGGACGAGAAAGTGTAATGAGGTGAAGCAGCGTTCCAAGAAAATTAGACTTTTAATGTAATACTCATGATTGTTTTCTGTTTGGTGAGAAGAGCAGAGAGAAGTGGGCATGTTTCTCCTAGCTTTCAAGAGACTTATAACTTGAATAACTGGTGTAAAAAATGTTTGGTCAAGAGGTAGAGTGTGTTATCCTCAGTTCATTGGCCTGTGTGTGATAAACATTGCCTTGCTTAAGATCATAAACATGGACCGTGAGATTGGCTTTTTTCTTTATTTGATTGTAGAAAGGCTCTATATAGAGCTGTATAGCTAGTTTCTGTCCAGTGGTGAAAGTTTTTGAACCCAGCAATGTATTAGTAATTATAACCCCCATCTATTCCTTAAAATGAACTATTCCCAAGGTATGAGAGTTGGAGGAAGAGGGACTAACATAAAAAGGACAATGCTCAGATTTAATTTTGGAGTAAAGCACAGGAGCAGAATCTTGAATAGGGAGGAGCCAATAGTTTGGAGAAAATGTAGTAGATAAAGTGATATACGTAACAAATATTTTTGCCCATTGTACACATGCATTCATCTGTGCAGTTATAAGTAGGGTCACCTACTGTATCCTAGGGGAAAAAAAAAGATTAAATTGCAAACTTAGTTTAATTATTACTTGCCTAGTGAAGGAAGTCAACCATATAATAGAGTGCACTGAAAGTCATGAGAGATGAATACAGAGTACTACTTAGAGTCTCCAGGGAGAGATTTCCTAAATAAGAGGGGCTTTCTAGCTACAGAAATTTTAAAATGGTTTCTGTTTTGAGTTTAAGTAAAAAATGAGGAAGATACAGGACAAAAAAGATGAGCTAAAGATTACTCCAGAGAGAAGAAATCCCATTGCAAAGGCAGAGAGAGATATTACATATAGGCAAGGTATAGAAAATACAGAATTCTTGACTCTATCATAGTTGGCAACATTCATTGGTTCACAGAAAAATCAAGAGAATTTGAGAAAAGCATCTACTTTTGTTTCATTGACTCTGCTAAAGCTTTTGACTGTGTGGATCAAAACAAACTATGGAAAAGTCTTCAAGAGATGGGAATACCAGATCATCTAACCTGTCTCCTGAGAAACCTGCATGCAGAGCAAGAAGCAACAGTTAGAACCAGACATAGAACAATAGACTGGTTCCAAATTGGGGAGGAGTATATCAAGGCTGCATATTGTCAACCTTCTTATTTAAGTTATATGCACAGTACATCATGGGAAATGCTGGGCTGGATGAAGCACAAGCTGGAATCAGGATTACCAGGAGAAATATCAAGAACTTTGGATATGCAGATAACATCACCCTTATGGCAGAAAGAGAACAGGAACTAAAGAGCCTCTTGATGAAGGTGAAAGAGGAGAATAGAAAAGCTGCAATAATACTCAACATTCAAAAAACAAAGATCATGGCATCCAGTCCCATCACTTAATGGCAAATAGATGGGGAAACAATGAAAAGAGTGACAGACTTTCTTTTCTTGGGCTTCAAAATCACTGCAGAGGGTAACTGCAGCCATGAAATTAAAAGACACTTGCTCCTTGGAATAAAAGTTATGATAAACCTAGACAGCCTATTGAAAAACAGAGACATTACTTTGCCAACAAAGGTCTGTCTAGTCAAAGCTATGGTTTTCCAGTAGTCATGTACGGATGTGAGAGTTGGACTATAAAGAAGCCCGAGAGCTGAAGAATTGAGGCTTTTGAACTGTGGTGTTGGAGAAGACTCTTGTGAGTCCTTTGGACTGCAGGGAGATCAAATGAGTCAATCCTAAAGTAAATCAGTCCTGAATATTCATTGGAAGGATTGATGTTGAAGCTGAAGCTCCAATACTTTAGCCAACTGATTCAAAGAGCCAACTCACTAGAAAAGACCCTGATGCTGGGAAAGATTGAAGGTAGGAGGAGAAGGGGATGACAAAGGATGAAATGGTTGAATGGCATCACTAATTCAATAGACATGAGTTTGAGCAAGCTCCAGGAGATGGTGAAGGACAGGAGAAGCCTGGCGTTGCTGCAGTCCATGGAGTCACAAAGAGTCAGACATGACTGAGCAACTGAACAATAAATCACAGTTGCAGAATGTGATTCACACAATCAAATATCTTGTCAGTATTTATTATCTGCCTTGCAAAGCATTTGCCCCACCCTTTTGTTGTATTAGTTCAGATTTTCAAATTTATTACACATATCATTTACATTTTCATGAGTGTCCATAAAGTATACAAGAAAAATAATATTTTTTTATTTTTTATATTTATTATAGTTTCTATTAGTAATGGAATAAAATAAATAAATAGAATAAATAAAAAAGAATGAAAATATTTATTATATTTTTTATTAGTAAGATAGAAATGTTAGTAAGATATTTCTAGCTTACTAATGAAACTAGAATCAGACTCTTGAGATTATTAAATAGTTATTAATTTACTTATTCATTCAATAAATGATTATTAAATACCACTTATGCCATAGTCACTCTCCTGGGTGCCAGATGCAGAGCAGTGAAGAATACAAGGTTTTTGCCTCATGGAGCTTACATTCTAGAGGAACGCCTTCTACTTCCTATCTCCTTACCTACCTATATGCACACATACACATTTCCATTCATATACAAACAAATGTATACATACATAAAATATAGTATGTTGGATGGTATTAGGGGGTATGGAAAAAATAGAGAGTAGCTAAAAGGGTGATGGGGGATTCAAATACAGTTGGATGATCTAGTTTCCCCAATCACAATTTACATGGGATTACCAGAAAACACTGCCTGATAAGGTAGATTTAGAGCAGAGATAAGAAAAGTATGAGATCAACGAAGATCTTTTTGCAGCAGCATG